GAGCTGCTTTGACAGGTACCTCCGCCTCCCCGCAGTGCAGCACAGCCAGCTCCTCGGTGTCTGCGGGAACCAAGAGAGAAGTGGTGCGTGAGCCGGGCCCCAGGCGCAGGGGGAAGCCAGCAGAGGGATCTAAACTAACAGTGGCGGGAAAGTGGAATTCAAAGTTCACAAAAAATATTCGAGTTTTTGGAAAAAAGTTTGTCCTGAATTGGGACAAAAAACCCCAAACTGGAAATGTTCCCCACAACTTGAACCCCGCAATACTTGGTTTGGGACACACCGAGCTGCAGGAATGTGTGTGTGTGTGAAATGAAATGTGTTCCCTGGGATTCCCGGCTGCCCGTCCAGGCAGGTGCCGTGGAGTCAGGAGCGCCTGGGAGCCCCGGCTCCGGGGCAGCCACCAGGCCAGCTGCTGATGGCCCTGGGAGCTTGGGAGCCGGGTATCCCAGTGCTTCTAGGCTCCTGACACCTCTGTGGTTCAGAAACCCCAGGCCAGTGGCAGCTGCTGAAGTGCTGGGGAGGGACGAGCTGGCGAGACACCAGGCAGGTTTCTGTCAGTCCCCGGCCTGCTTTCTGCCCAAATTCTTTCAGAACTGAGATGTTTCCATGGAACGTTTCAAATTTGGCAAATCGTCATTTTGTGATGGAAAAAAAAATCTCCAGCCAGCGCCAAAGTAACCCCGTTATCTAAAGCAGGGCAATCTGCCACCTGGAGGTGCCTACTTTGGTTTACCCTTAACCTGTTCCCACTTGCATGGAACTGAACCAAAAGAAGCTTGGTTAAAACCAGAACAAGGCCGTCCACACAGCCCAGTGCAGCTCTTTAACAGACATGGGTTATTAGTGTTGGTCTATCTCTGGTATTGACGGGCCCCAGCACCATAGTATGCAAGTGCCGCACAATCCTTAATGTGTTTATTCACATGCACGCCTGGGAGGCAGGGCAGGACTGTTATCCCCAGTCTACAGATGGGAACTGACACACACAGGGACTAAGTGACTGGCCCAAGGTCACACGGGGAGTCTGTGACAGAACCCAAATTGGACAGAGTGCAACTTGGGGAACCAGGAATTCGTGGTTCTGCCTCCGCCATGGCTCAGTGGATCTGACCCTGGGGAGGGGCTGGGGGAGCTCCTGGCTGTGTGGCTGAGCTCTGCCTACCCCCTGGCTCTGCAGACTCAGCCAGGAGGCACTGCCATGGGAGCTTGTGGCTGGGATCCCAGGATTTTGCTTTCTAAGCTGGCTGATTCATCCCTCACCTGTTGGGACGTCCCTCTGGGTCTCCTGCTCCTCAGGGGCTGGGGGATCTGTGATGCACGGCTCCTTCCCTCGTTCCAGCTGAGAGATCAGGGTGGGTTTGCGAACCGGAAAACCTGCCCATGGGGAAGAGAAGAGAAGCCATCAGGGTGCAGTCAGTGAGCCCAAGGGCTTGGTACAAAGGGCCCTCTCTGCTGGAAAGAGGGCAATGGGAAAGTCATATGACTAGTGGGAGGAGGGGCAGGCACAACCCAACGCTGACAACTCTGAACCCACAGAGACAGACCAGAGCACTCTCCGCTGGAGCAGGAACCCCAGCTCAGATACGCAGGGAGTACAAACAGTGCATGCACATGCCGACTGACATAACTTCTTTATCATCTTTTCTAGGATCGGTAGGATACCATCAAGACTTCATTCCTAACTTTGCTTTCATTGCAGGTCCACTGTATAACTTCTGAAAGAAAGGGGATTGCTTGGGCCAGGGCAGATCAGATCAGTTCAGTTTGTAAAATTGAAGTGAGCAGTAATTCAAGCATCTCCAGATCCCAGCAAACCGTATCACTTAAAAGGTCTCTGAGTGCAATTGCACTTTCAACAGTAGTTTCTAAAGAGAGTCATGGAAAAATTTAGGCCAGTAGCCTGTGCTCTAAAAGAATGAGCCTAGTGGAACCTAAATATTCCACTTGTGAAAAATATTTATTGGTCACCAGCTGGACAACCAAGCGTTTTGCATTTTTAATTGGTTTAAACCCAATAGCTCTCCATTCCACACACACACCCCTCTCCAGTTCTTGCTTTCTAATCGAATCAAGGATGGACGGGTGTCTAATGCTCAGCTAGCACACTGGACTTTGTTACTGCATGACAAAGGTATAACATGGACCCTATCTCCTTTGCCGGATGCCCTGTTGTATTCTGGGAACCCTTGTGTGTGCCCAGATGTTAATCCAGGGAAAATCTGAACCCAGATTTCCACATCAATACCTTCCAAAATAGAAATCACAGAAACTTATTATTATGATCAGGAGAAACCAATATCTTCTTGTTATTGATCCATTCTCCAAATGGGGGAGGAGGGAGAAGTATTTCCCCTTAAGGCAAATGCTGCTTTAGCCAAAACAAAAAAAAAATGTGGTGAAACAAGTCTTCTCTCATTGGAAACTCCCCGCTAGGGTAGAGTCAGGCAGAGGAACACATTTTACTGAGCCAGGGTATGTCTACACTACAGGATTACTCCGAATTTACAGAATTCGATTTTGGGCAACCAATTGTATAAAGTCAAGTGCATGTGGCCACACTAAGCACATTAATTCGGCGGTGTGCGTCCATGTACCGAGGCTAGTGTCGACTTCCGGAGCGTTGCACTGTGGGTAGCTATTCCAAAACTATCCCATAGTTCCCGCAGTCTCCCCTGCCCATTGGAATTCTGGGTTAAGATCCCAATGCCTGATAGGGCAAAAAACATTGTCGCTGGTCGTTCTGGGTACAGCCTCACCCCTCCCTCCGTGAAAGCAATGGCAGACAACGGTTTCGCACCTTTTTTCCTGGGTGAACTGTGCAGACGCCATACCACGGCAAGCATGGAGCCCGCTCAGCTCAAGACAGCAGTAATGAACATTGTAAACACCTTGCGCATTATCGTGCAGTTTATACTGAACTAGAACCTAGAAAACCAGGCGAGGAGGAGGCTGCGACTGCAGCGCGGCTATGAGAGTGATGAGGACATGGACACAGAATTCTCTCAAACTACAGGTCCCGGCGCTTTGGAGATCATGTTGTTAATGGGGCAGGTTCTAGCCATGGAACGCCGATTCTGGGCCCGGGAAACAAGCACAGACTGGTGGGACCACCTAGTGTTGCAGTTGTGGGACGATTCCCAGTGGTTGCGAAACTTTCGCATGCATAAGGGCACTTTCATGAAACTTTGTGACTTGCTTTCCCCTGCCCTGAAGTGCCAGAATACCAGGATGAGAGCAGCCCTCACAGTTGAGAAGTGAGTGGCAATAGCCCTGTGGAAGCTTGCAACGCCAGACAGCTACCGGTCAGTCGGGAATCAATTTGTAGTGGGCAAATCTACTGTGGGGGCTGCTGTGATGCAAGTAGCCAAAGCAATCACTGAGCTGCTGCTACGAAAGTTTGTGACTCTGGGAAATGTGCAGGTCATAGTGGATGGCTTTGCTGCAATGGGATTCCCTAACTGTGGTGGGGTGATAGATGGAACCCATATCCCTATCTTGGCACCGGAGCACCAGGGCAGCCAGTATATAAACCGCAAGGGGTACTTTTCAATGGTGCTGCAAGCACTGGTGGATCACAAGGGACATTTCACCAACATCAACGTGGGATGGCTGGGAAGGGTTCATGACGCTCGCATCTTCAGGAACACTACTCTGTTTAAATGGCTGCAGCAAGGAATTTACTTCCCAGACCAGAAAATAACCGTTGGGGATGTTGAAATGCCTATAGTTATCCTTGGGGACCCAGCCTACCCCTTAATGCCATGGCTCATGAAGCCATACACAGCCAGCCTGGACAGTAGTCAGGAGCTGTTCAACTACAGACTGAGCAAGTGTAGAATGGTGGTAGAATGTGCATTTGGACATTTAAAGGGTCGCTGGCGCACTTTACTGACTCGATCAGACCTCAGCCAAACCAATATTCCCATTGTTATTGCTGCTTGCTGTGTGCTCCACAATCTCTGTGAAAGTAATGGGGAGACGTTTATGGCGGGGTGGGAGGCTGAGGCAAATCGCCTGGCCACTGATTACGTGCAGCCAGACATCAGGGCAATTAGAAGAGCACACCAGGAAGTGCTATGCATTAGAGAAGCTTTGAAAAACAGTTTCATGACTGGCCAGGCTATGGTGTGAAAGTTCTGTTTGTTTCTCCTTGATGAAAACCCGCCCCCTTGATTAACTCGTTCTCTGTAAGCAACCCACCCTCCCCCTTTGATCACAGCTTGATTTCAAAGGAAATAAAGTCACTATTGTTTAAAAATCATGTATTCTTTATTAATTGATTATAAAAAGAGGGAGAGAAAACTTACAAGGTAGCCCGGGTGGGGTTTGGGAGGAGGATAGGAGGGAAGGAAAAGGCCACTAAAAAAGTTCAAAATAATGACAGCCTTTTGGTTGGGCTGTCCACTGGGATGGAGTGGGAGGGTGCACGGAGCCTTCCCCCCGCATTCTTACACGTCTGGGTGAGGAGGCTATGGAACATGGTGAGGGGGGTTATACAGGGGCTGCAGTGGCACTCTGTGATCCTGCTGCCGTTCCTGAAGCTCCACCAGACGCCGGAGCATGTCTGTTTGCTCACGCAGCTGCCCCAGCATTGCATCCTGCCTCCTCTGATCTTCCTGCCGCCACTTCTCATCTCGAGCATCTCTCCTCTCCTCACGTTGGTCCCTTCTGTCCTCACGTTGGTCCCTCATGTCCTCACGTTCACTGGCATCTTTCCTGTACTTTGATACCGCGTCCTTCCACTCATTCAGATGAGCTCTTTCACTGCAGAACATCTTCCCCATCTGCAGAATCCTCAGGCATGGCTGAGATTACCCCCTCCTCAGAATCCATGCTCAAGGGTGGGATAGTGGTGCCCCCCCCGAATTGCATGCAGCTCAGCGTAGAAGCGGCATGTCTGTGGCTCTGCCCTGGTCCTTCCGTTTGCTTCTTTGGTTTTCTGGTAGGCTTGTCTGAGCTCCTTAACTTTCACGTGGCACTGTAGTGAGTCCCTATTGTGGCCCCTCTCCATCATGCCCTTGGAGATTTTTTCAAATGTTTTGGCATTTTGTCTTTTGGAACATAGTTCTGCTAGCACGGAATCCTCTCCCCATATAGCGATCAGATCCAGTACCTCCCGTACGGTCCATGCTGGTGCTCTTTTTCGATTCTCGGACTGCATGGTTACCTGTGCTGATGAGCTCTGCGTGGTCACCTGTGCTCTCCACACTGGGCAAACAGGAAATGAAATTCAAAAGTTCGCGGGGCTTTTCCTGTCTACCTGGCTAGTGCATCCGAGTTCAGATTGCTGTCCAGCGCGGTCACAATGGTGCACTGTGGGATAGCGCCCGGAGGCCAATACCATTGAATTGCGGCCACACTAACCCTAATTCAAACTGGCAATACCGATTTCGGCGCTAGTCCTCTCGCTGGGGAGGAGTTCAGATATCGATATTAAGAGCTCTTTATATCGAAGTAAAGGGCTTCGTTGTGTGGACGGGTGCAGGGTTAATTCGATTTAATGCTGCTAAATTCAAACTAAACTCAGAGTGTAGACCAGGCCCAAGTGTTCCAAAGATGTGTACAGTTGTTGGGAGTGCAACAAAACTGCACATTTCATATAGACCTCAATCATCAGGGATGCAAACGAGAACAAATTGCACCATCAGACTAATGCTGCCGAAACTGGTAGATGCCAATGGATGCAGTTGGAATACCCAGATTCCACTCATTTTAATGGCATTCAGGGCAACTCCCACTGCTTCCACAGATCATACATCCTTTGAGGTGATGACTGGGCAAACCATGTGAATGTCAAAGCATCTTTTGTGGCATACCAGTGGCACACAGCTAGAGGAAGTCAACGGAAAACCTATGTGCAAGCACTAAAAAAAAAACACTTAAATCATCTATCAAATTAGGAAAATCCAAACAGAAGGCAAAGGTTTATTTTAATAAAGGCCAAAGAGAGAATGCTTGGGAAATTGGAGATCAGGTGATAATATGCTGTAACAGAACACAATTTACGTAACCAATGAACTGGACCACATTATATTATAAATAGACTCAGTTTCCTCTGCATACAGAATCAGAAACAAAAAAAAGGTAGATACATTCTATCATGTTAATAGAATTAAAGTTGTACCGGAAAAGAAATATTTCTCCACAGGCACAAGAATCAGACACACTGACCACAAAAGAGGAAGTAAAGGATCAGAGAAAGCCAGCCCAGTAGCAGGAAAAGAAAAAAATGCATGTCTTAACAACACTGATGCTGTATTATTGCCTTAATACTGCACTTCAAACCAAACAGACTGTCCCAGTACAACAAGAACCAAGAATAGTCAAGGCCAATCAAATTTTTATGTTGGAACTAAACTCAAACTTGCCTGTTG